GCTGGAACTGGCCAGTGTCCCTCTGGCCATATTGCATTGGTCAGAGCAGTCCCAGGGCTGGCCCAGATTCAAGGGAAGGGAAATAGACTCACCTCTTGGTGAAAGGAGTGGCGGAGAACATGTGGCATCTTTAACTCACTGCTGTCCCCAAATGTGTCAGAGCTTCTGAATTTGCTCCCCAGGGTCTAGTCCAGCCTCCTCACTTGGGATGTGGGGATGGAGGCTAGAGAGGACAAGAGGTCAGCCACATGGAAAGGGTCATAGATTTAGGGGCAGAGCTGGATTCCCAACCCAGGGCTCTTCCAACCCCACCCCATGGAGGCTCTGATTCCAGGGCCAGGCCCTCCCCAGTCTGGCATCGCTGCTTGGGATTCTGTTTTGCACACTCTGGTGTTTGCAATCAAAAAGTTCAGCGGCCCTTCCAGTGTGCTTAAATTAGTCCCCATGAAAACCAAATCATTTCATTTGCAGAGAAGGGCTTAATTGCAAGGGGAATGAGGCAAAGGGAATTCTGTTGCCTGTTTTCATTGAAGAAAATTACTGTACTTTCCCCTGTCTCCTTCCTAAACAGAAGCGGCTTAGAAATTGGGCTGTAATCACCAGTGATACCTCTCCTCCTCCTTCTCCTCAGACCTTGTTCAGCGCTTCCCCGCTCCCGAGACCCTGCTCTGGACGGTTCTTTCTCCTCCGCCTGGCTGGGGCAGCCCAGTCCTGGCCCCCTGCGGTGGGCAGCCCTCCCCGGTTTGCCTGGAGTCTCCCCACGCCCCTGCGATGTTGAGAGGATCGCCCGCGACTTCACGGGGGCCTCAGCCGCGGGCTGGCCCACACTCTCGGCAGGAAGAAATGTCCCGTCACTTTCTTAGAAATCACATGGAATCTGCTCCAAGCCCTCACTCATGGGGGCTGCAGAGAAGTCAGTTGTGATGAAGGCCCTCCCCAACCAGCGTCTTGCACAAATCCTGGGGCTTCTCCATACTGGTGCCTAGCAGAGGGGAGGGGGCCTGGCCTCTAGACCATCTTCACCAAGGCTCCTTCTGTCATTTGATGCTGTGGGCCGGCAGGTCCTCGAGTGCCCTTGTGAGGAAACCCAGCAAACACACCCTCCTGTCCGGGGAAGCTGGTTTCCTCTCTGCTTCTCTGCCTGAGAGCCCTGGCCTGTCTTGGACAGGCCAGCCTGATTCCTTCTGTGGCCAGTGTTTCCCTGGGGAGGGGCATATGGATCTTCAGGTGACAGGCTGATAACCTGCAGGGGGAGGTGCATAAGTAGCACCTCTGGTGTTAGGAGAGAAATAAACGAGGGCTGGGCCCCAGAGGGTATATAGGTGGGGTGTGGCTACAGCTCCAAACAGGGACCGTGGTCTGAAGGAGAGGAGGAGGTGAGCCGCATGGAGATCTGGGGGAACAGCAGAGTGGGTGGGACAGCAAGTGCAGAGGCTGGGGGGCAGGAGCGGGCCTGGTGAAGGTGAGGGCAGCAAGGCGTGGCCTGAGCAGATGGGGGAGAGCAGGAGGGCAGATCAGAGGAGCCTCCCAGAGCCTCTCTCTGTTCTTCCTCTGGAACGAGATGGTTTTATTCTGTTCTGGCAAATCCACAGCAGCACAAGAAATCTGAGCGTGGCTTCCCCTGCCTTTCTTTGGAGAAGGGAGGAGAGCAAGGCTGAGAGCACAGACTGGAGCTGGGCTATCTGAGTTCAAACAGCTCTACCACTTGCCTGACCTCCCTGTGCCTCAGTTTCCCCCCATATACAGGGGATAACAACAGCACCTACGGTAAGGGGTCATTGTGAGGATTCAGTGGGCTACAGCTCACTAGGAGCGTGTCATAATGCTATCACGTGTTGGCTAATTTTATCATTTCTTTCTTAATAACTTCTCTTGCTACAGAGATAAAGCGATTAGCCCAGTATCCCGGCTGATAAAGGGCAGAGCTGGTCCTGAGGATGCTGATCCCCACCTCCACCCGGCCCGCCTCCCAGTGCAGCATCATCCTGTGGAAACATGGCAGCACCAGGCAGCATGGTGCCCCCACCCATCCCCTCTGCCTCTCTTTTCCTGGGAGTATCCTGGGACCCTCTGTCCAGATTCTCTCCTTCTCTCTAGAACTTTCTCTGGGGCAGGGGGGGAGAAGCTGGCCTGGCTGCCCAAAGAGGGCTGCTTTGGAACAGTTGAGTTGACGTACTGCAAACGCTCCCCTGGCCCTTCCCTTAGGGGGAGGCCGACAGGATAACGGATTTGAGTCCACACACCTGACCCCACAAAGGGATTTTTTTTTTTTTTGAGACTCAAGGTCAATGGTGTATTAATTAAGGGAGAACAGCCGCTAGTGCAGTCCTTATGCTAAGTCAGTGACAAATGGCCGTGTTTACCTTTTTCCAGGGAAGAGACTCCGGAAGGTGGCCTGGAGCTCCTGGGTGGACGTCCATGGCCGAGATTTGTGGGGTACAGCCTTTCCCTCCCTCACCCCCCAAAGCTTCTTAATCGGTGCCCACTGAGCCCGAGAGGGCTGTTTTGTCACTGAGGAAAGAGGTCTGAGTGGCTGGAAGGGACTGGACAGAGCAGCAGAAACTTCTCACTATGGCTCCCCTCAAGATGTCCTTGGAGCCCCTCCTCAGGCAAGTCCCACCACCCTGCACTGTCCCTTGTGAATTAAGAGCTGCTTAAAAGGGAGACGTGGCCCTTCAAAGCTGAAAGAGTCCGGAGAGCCGGATCTGAGACGTCTGCGGCGCTGAGCACGCACCTTGGGGCCTTTGTGCCGAGCGCTTGCTCCGTGCGCCAGAAAGGAAGGGGCCGGGCTGGCAGGGGCCTTTTGTTATTTCGTTTATTTTGATCTGGCTCCTGCTCTCCAAACAGCTTCACAGAAATAGAGCCCTGCATTAGCTCCCTTCTCAGCTTCAGACAAAACATAGCAGAGGGAAAAGTCTTTTACTGAGACAGAAAAGGGACAGATGGGCTCATCTTTTTCTGGGTTGTTTCTGGGTCCTTTGACTCAGTTTACCCACCAAGTTTCCAGCTGATAGGAGGATGGCAGGATGGTGCTCACGTGCCATTCACCACCCAGACGGACCAGCGTGGACAGGGACAGCAGGGCAGTGGGGGCGGCCAGTAGCTCAGAGGCTGCCTTCTTTCAGGGCTGACCAAGACCTTGGGGCCCCTGCAAAAGGAAGGCGCGGCTGGATCTTGATGCAAATGTCAAACGCCTCCAGCTCTCCCCACACGCCCACTGCGCCCCTAGGGTAGAGGCGGTGCTGATGGAGAATGGTAGGGCCCCAAAACACACTCAGCAAACCTCTGCCTTGCAAAGTCCAACCCCCTGTGGCAGGTGGGGGACTCCCACATGTCCCCCAGGCCACATTGGTGTTCTCCACAGTGGTGGGGGCCCAGAGGAGACAGGTCTGCTGCCAATGTCAACCTCCTGCCTCTTTAGGGGACACCTTCAACTGCCAAGGAGCCCCGTCCAACCTCACTCTGCCCTTTCTTTCTCCCTCTCCCAGGGCTGGTGCTGGGCACCCCAGGGGAGCCTCTGAGGGGAGGCAGAGATGGGGCAGAAGGAAAGAGGTTCTGTCCACCCGCACTGGGACCAGGCGGGCGTCTTGTGAGTTCACCCTGCAGGGTGGGGTCGTCACACCATGTTATGAATGTGGAGGCCCAGGTGATGCAGTTTGCCGGAGAACCCCGTCACTGAGGCTGAGGCCCAGAGGGAGGAAGGCCGGCATGCAAAGGCCCTGAGCCCCTGCTCAGCCTGCTCCGCCTCTTCAGCTAACCTCTCCACAGCCAGCGCTTAATAACTCCACACACCATTCCTCCTGCATTGCTTTGGGGGGAAAGGGAAAGAACCATGGACGAGAAACATCCATTTTAAATAAATAGTTTATTTCTCCAACAGTTTCAGCCCTGACGCTGAAGCCTGTTGCAGTTTCTTCTCTTCCGGCTGGAGCCTGATTATGAAACCGTTTCTCTGCCGTGGGGCTGGCACTCAGACTCCAGCCCCGCCGATCATCCAGGCATCAGAGGAAACGAGAGTATTGCTCAAATGAGGGAGACTGGAGCTTTATTAAGGAAACAGAAAACACCACTAAGACCAGAAGGGGGTGGTGAATGCCTTCCGGAGGCAGCTGCTGCGTCTCCTCCACTGGCCCCTCTCGGGTCTGCAGATGAGAACGTGGGGATGAGGCTCTGCTGCAGAGGCTCCTCGCGCTTAACTAACAAGGCCCCCTGCAGGGGTGTTTCTGGAGACTGCCTCCCGCCGGCCGCTGATGAGCTGGCAGGGGGCCATGAGGAAGGTCTGCAGCAGCGTGGGCACTGCTCTCGGGTGGCCAGCAGGGGGCAGTGGTGCAGCCACTGCGCCTCCCCCATGCACAGAAACCAACGCTGTGCTGGAAGTTCTAGTTAAACAGCCCAGGTGGGGAGGCTGCGGCGCAGTAAAGAAGGTGATCTCCGCGCACTAGAAGAGCGAGACACCCGAGGTCCTGGAATCGCCATTCTCAGCCTGAGGCAGGGCCGTGGCTGCAGGGCTGGTCTGAAACGGCCACTCTGTGTGAAGCAGCACCTAAGAGGCCCACCCCGGGAGGCTGCCGTGGTTGTGCCTGTGGAGACGGTGGCTGGTGGCAGCCCTGGCCCTCTCTGTCCTCAGGCCCCTGTGCCTACTCCAGGTTCCTCCCCGGAGGCCACATCAGCAGCTCACTCCTCCTGACCAGAGGGCCCCGTGTGCAAGGGCCGGGTGTTTCTAGATAGTTCTCCTATAGTACTTGTTCTAATTTCTAGCACCTTCTCCCTTCAGGATAAAAGAGACCCAATCCAATGGGAGGACAGGCTCTCTCCCCTCACCCTTGAGCTCCCAGGTAACACCCCCTAAAGGCACATGGACCAAGCTGCTCCCCCACCCCTGCTGCCCCAGCCACCAGCCCGACCCACCTCCCACAGGCGTGACGCCCACGTCACTGCTGAGCGCTCACTGGCGGGGGCCGAGCTCCAGCCCACCCAACCGCACACGTGCTCTGCAGGGCCTCAGAGCTGCTGCTCTTTTATCTTCTCTACTCATGAAAAACAAACCCTTCTCCCCTTTCTGCCAGCAAAGCAGGGCAGAGAGGATCCGACCCATGCGGAGGACAAGCTGCCCACCCAGCCTCTGGCTTCTTCCCTCCGCCCTTCCAGGAAGCCCACACTTCCCTACTGAGCTGGCTCTGTGGAGTCCACAGAGACCTTTGGAACCAGGGGTGGGAGGAGGGTGCAAGTCAAGGCAAGTGTGAATTCAGCACCGGCAGGGCTGGCGCCCTTTCGAGCCCGCAGAGTGGACGGGCCTGGGGCAGGCTGAACGGGAACAGGCCCCGCCCAGGGTTTATCGCTCAGAGTCAGAGAAGGAAGAGGGCTTAGTCCATCTCCACACCAGCATATCTTCTCCAGCCACACGGTGGGACTCCGTCTGGATCCGGGATTCATTGGAGGCCAGGAACTCCACGGCCCGGTCCCAGACCCGCTTCATGCGCCTCCTGCAACGAGAGAGGCCAGATTCAGTGGGCAAGCGTGCCCTCGGCCGCTCTGCCCAGCCCTGTCGAGAGGCGAGCGGGTCTGCGGGTGCCCTCAGTACCAAGCGGGGACCAAGCTCCAAGATCCCGCGCAGGTTAAATCTGCGGGAGGAGAAACCGGCAGGTACTAACGGGACTCCTGCAGAGGAGAGAAATTTCTTGGGCCATGGAGAAATAATTCCTCAACCTTCTCTGTTCCAAAAGCATTCAATTAAAGGGAGCTGAAAGGGGCTGGAGGTGTCCAGGGCACCCCCGGGTGTCCAACTGGGAAGGGGCTGTGCTTTGCCGACTTTTGCTGGGACCTGTTACTGCAGCAGCCCTGGCTTGGTGGCCCCACCACCAGGGCTGGCTGCATTTTAATGCCTCTGGTGAGCTAATTAAAGAGTGGCCACGGGGCTGTCAAGTGCAAACTCCACAGCGCTTCAGGGGGTGGGGATGAGCTAAGCATCCAACTGGGGAGAAGAAGCAGCTGGAGCCGCTCTTGCAAACAGAGCCACCACGCAGGGCCCCTTCCCAGCTGGCAGGCCTTGGGCCCCGGACTAGTGGCCAGAGTTCCTGCTCTGCTGTGTGCCCGGGGCCTTGCATCCCCTCGGACAGCCCCTATTTCCTCATCCCCCCTTCCAGGCTAGACAGGAAGATTCCAGTGGCTTTGGTGTCTTCCCTTTGATGAGCCCGCCTTCCATCAGCACTGCAGACCACCCCCCTGACCCCACACGTGGAGGGTGAATGTGAGCGTGTGCTGGGGAGCAGGAAGGTTCAACCCGGGGTTATCGGGGTTTTCTTCCCCAGAGGTCAGGTCCTGTCACCAACCAAACCCCACAGCTCTTAGCAACCCCCACTTGGCTGGTCTGGCCGGGGCCACACACGCCCTGGGGACTGAGCCCCTCATCCTGGGTCCCTGAGGGGAGGCAGCCAGCTCTGTGTGGGGCTGGTGCCCCCCCCCTCCTTCCCAGGCTGCCCATTAACAGGTAATGACCAAGCCTGCCCGAGCCAGCTGCTCTCATCAGCTCCCCTGCTCTCCTCCCTGAACAAGCTCTTCAGATCTCCCTCAGGCTCACAAGCAGGCCCTCATCCACAGGGCAGACCCAAGTGCGCCCACACAGGGCCAATCGACGGAGGCTAATGTCCCCACACGAGTCGAGAGCTCTGCACTGACTGGGGGGCTTGGGAGATGAATCAAGAGGCTGAGAGCCAAAGGGCGTGAGCCTCCCAAGGTTCACCGCTGGGGGCTCAGACCCTGTGGAGCGGCTGCCTGCCTGCAGACTGGAGCTGAGGCATGGTGGCTCAGGCCCATGAGAAGCTACGATGCCACTTCCTGCTCTGATTTAAGTGAGCATGTGCATTCATATCATTTAAGCCCAAGCGAGGACGGCTGCCCTTTGATGGGGGCTCAAGTGCCAGGCACTGACTTAGTGAGCCGGGAGGCCATCTTCCTGACATCTCTGCTCCCCTTTTCCTCAGGACCTGTCACCACCTAACAGCACATTTTCTCATGCATCTTGTCATCCAGCTTCATCTCTGGAGCCAGTGCTCCCGCAGGGCAGGGATTTTTGCTCCTTCCACTCCCCACTGTCTCCCCTGACCCAGTACGGGGCAGCTAGGGGCGCTCAGGGAGCACTCGTGGAGTGAATGAACGACAGCCTCTCGTCCCCACAGCCCTCCATGAGGCAGCTGGTGTTACCTCTGTTTTATGGAGAAGGAAACTGTGGCTCAGAGAGGTCGTCTACCATGGTCACATGACGACTCGAGGCAGGGCCAGGAATCAGGCGGGAGTCTGAATACACCAAGTGGCCTCCCCTGGGGGCTGGAGGGCTGTGTGGCTGCCTCGTGCTGGGGACCAGCAGCAAGAACCAGCCCCACACCATGGCCAGTCTGCTCTCTCTAAGCTTCCTGCCCACCACCTTCCAGGGGATGGGGTGGGCATGAATGTTATTAAACACCTACACATTTAAAAGGGGCCCTTAAATGTTCTGCTCTTCAAGCTCCTCTTGGGTTGCGCAGAAAGGGGTGACCTCAACTGCAGGTCTGGCCAGGAGAGCACAGAAATGCCACCAACCATGGGCCTCTAAGTTCCTTAACCTCCTGTGCCTCAGTTTCCTCATCCATAAAATGGGGTACTCCTTGTTCTGACCTCCCAGGGCCATGGCGAGGAGCAAGCAAGTGAGTCTGTACTGTGGAGGGCTCATAGCGAGCGCTCAGCATCATCTGAGATGACGGCGTCCAGCCAGAGACCGCAGCAGCACCTGCCGTGGAGGGCCCGCAGGCTGAGCTGCCTCCGGGGGCTGGCCCTGGCTCTGCCCCACCCCTGGTTTTGTCAGGGCTCCAGCCAGCATCTGCAGCCCGTGTGGAAGGTGGTGCTGGAGTCGTGCGTGACAGTGGTCTGCCACCTCTGCCCACGCAGCCATGTGCCCTGGAAGCTGATGCCACTCGCTGCTGTGACACTGATTTCAACGACATGTATGCACGTGTGTGCGTGCGTGGTGGGAACTGGACCGTATTTTAGGTAATACGGGTTTCTGACTGTGGGTCATGGTTCAAAACATTTGAAAAACAATCTCCTCCTTGCCAGTAATTGATTCAAGAATAGATAAGTAACCAATTCTGGCCAGCGGAGCCTCTAGTGTGTCACTGGAATGTGTTCTCTTGCTCATGAGTGATAGGAAGCCCCCTCTCCCGTGCTGGCTGTGATAAGGCAGACGTTGCTCTAGCTGATGTTGGCCACCATCTTGGGGCCACAAGGAGCTCCAGCCAGCCGACAACATCCATGGAGGGCAGGACCACGAGAATCACAGAGACACGGAACCAGAGACCTGACTGGTCTGTGCTGGGAGCCCACACGACGCTGGACTTCCACGCATGGAAACTCATCGGGTCCTCCCCTGCCTGAGCCCCTGGGGGCGGGGGGGTCTGGTACTTGCCACCAAAACGTCCTCTACAGTATGAACACCAACAGTGCTGCACCTCTACAGAGGACTGGGACTGTGCTTCTAGACCCTCCCGTCTGTGCATTCTGCCGTGAAGAGCAGATTGCTGGAGGAGCGGCAGGAGCTGTGGACGGTGCCCCCACCCCCACAACTGACGCGAGGCTCTGGGCCTCCTTCCGTGGGGCACTCTGGAGTCAGACCCAGACTCACCGGCTCTGTGGAGGGATCAGGGTGTCGCGCACGTGCAGGATGCCCACGTAGGGGTAGCGCTCCATGTCCTGCTCCCAGTCCACATAATGGTCCTGGACCACATCTGCAGGACAGAGGGCACTGTTTAGGGTGAGGACCTTCTGGTGGATGCCAGCAGCCCTTTCACCAGGGACCACGCACCTATAATCTTCTTCACCATCTCATACATGGCCTGCTCCTCCTCTTCCAACTTCCGCCACCGATATTTCAGGAGGATCAGGAGCCCCCACAAAAAGGCCAAGCCTGTGAGGGAAGAAAGCACCGTTAATCCCTGTGTCGCCTCCGGCTGATCAGGTGCTCACTGGCTCTCCCTGGGGCAGGTGGCTGTGCTGGAGGCTGTGGGTGAGCTGCCAACGTGCTCTGAGCACCTACTATGTGTTGGGCCCAGGGCTGGCATGCAGGAAACAAAGGACACAGGAATGCAACGGGAGAACAGGCTATTAAGTGATCATCCTCCTCCTGCGGCTGTCACCACAGAGGTATCCCCAGCCATCCAGATCTCGGCTCCTCCCAGCCTCAGTGCGGGGCTTTCATCTCCTCCCCTGTGAACCAGAACATGGTGTTTCATACATATATACATGCCGGGCCTTTGTATTCTGAGATGCTGCTGCCAATAATGATGTCTGCGCCTGATGGCATGGGTGAGGGAGCTGTGTGCACGCCCAGACAGCCTGCGATTTGTAACTGAGCCCTCTCTGCAGACCCGGCGGTTCTGTGACTTGGCCTCTCGCCTTCAGAGCCACCCCGGGGTCTCTGCTCAAAGGCAGCCCCGGAGGCCGGGAGACAAGACCTGTGCTCTCCTTCTCAGCTCAGCACCCTGCGTCCTTCCTGCCTTCATCAGGTATCTGGCTCCCCTGGGACATGTTTACATTGCTCAAGGAGTAAAATCAGGTGCTGCGCTCCCCCCTCGGGGCGGCATGGACTCCGGGGTCCGGGAAGGGATGATGCTCGGCTCCAGCCCAGGCCAGCCTCCCTCTGAGGGACGCTGACAGTCCCCTGCCCTGAGTCAAGGACATTTTCTAGTTATCCTCTTGCTCCTGCCACCGATCTCCAAAGGTAAAGACAAGCCAGGGCAGAGGCACAGTCGTTCATCTCCTCTGTCTTATTAGACAGACCTCAGGTTCACTGGACAGACATGACCTCTCCTGGCCTGGGCTTCTGTAACAGCACTCACGCCTAGAAGTGTTGGCTGAGCCAGGCTCCCGGGAGGCGCTGTGTGCAACGCGAGCAGTCCTGATGGCGGGGGGAAGGGGTGGGAAGGGCAGCTGAGGACTTACACCAGAAGAAGATGAGCACGTTGGTGACGGCAGTGAGCAGGGCGCGGCTCAGGCGGCAGCCAACACCCATGCGAGGGCGGGCGGATTCCAGGCAGACCACCTTGTCCACGGTTGTCACCAACTCCGACGGGTCTTCCCCCTTCAACCTGAAACAGGACACAGGATTGTAAACATGTTCAAAAGCTCTGAGCAGCCGCAGTATAAGTCCCACTTTAAGCAGAAGGAGGAGAAGGAAGGAGGAGCTTCGAGGTCTTTACTTGCTTATAAAATAGACTTGGTATCCTGGTTGCACTCTTTCCAGAAATTTCCCACGTCGGCTACTTAGAAAGAATAAAGCTTTAAAGACGGCAGCAGGCTTGAACCCCTGCCGCTAAAGTGACGTCCCCCTCTGTCGGGTCTTTGACAGCCCCTCTCAGCGTGAGGAAGATTAAACTGTAAATTGGATTCCCACCTCCCAGCACAGAGAAATGGAAATGTTTACTGAATCGCCGGCTTCGCGCTGCATGGCAAGAACTGAAAGGCAAAGTCTGGGAGGGTGTGCTTGTCCTCGGCGACGAGGAGGCGCATAAGCTGTTTAAGTGTAGACATCATGTGGCGCACGAGGCCCAAGGGAATGAAAACTGCCAGGCTCTCCAAGGCCAGACCCCAGCCACAGCACCTCCGCCTTGCCCTGCCCAGGAGGTGTCAGACCCGTGGGGATGCTGACACCTGCACCTTCCTCCAGCTAGGGGACAACCTCATGCTCTGGACCGCACACTGGAATGGCTGGTACCTGAAAATCCCGATTTCTCACGACCCACTTCTAACACCAGTCGTCCGAGCTGGGCTCAGCCACCTCCAGGCTGGTGCCCCCAGTGTGAAAAGGCGGGTGTCATCCCTCTTCTGTGTCAGCAACCTCTGCGAGCGCTGCCGAGGAGAAAATCCGCACTCTCCTCGGCCTTTTCCAACACAAGGGAAAATCGCTCAGCCACTCAGGGAAGCTTTCTCTTTTTTTTTTCAAGCCAACTAATTTTAATTGTGCCACGCATCCAGTTATCAAGTTTTAGGCTGAGCGCCCGAGGGGCCCCTGCTAGATGCACTGCTGACGGAATTAGTAATTTGGGTGGATTAGGGAGGCAGAGAACAACACCCCGGAGTGCATTCTAATATCAGGAGCCATAACCTGAACAGAAACCCTGACAAGCCCTGAGAGAGCGGAGCGGTGCCAAGGAGAGTGCTTTCCCAGTAGGGGACTTCTCGGGGTTGTCCCCCACTGGCTGGTGCGTCCCCCCGGGGCTGAGAAGCCAGGTGGGGCCTTTCAGAGGGGGTGAAAGGGCTCGCTATCTCTGCTAACAGGGCTTGCCAGAGAGAGAAATGAGGCAGACTGCCGGTCAGAATACAATCCAGTCTTTCCTTTTGCAATTTCCATACTGAGTGAAATCAACATACCGAATCATTTCATCTACAAAAGAAAACTAGCACCCGAGGAAAGGAAGTGCAGAAAATGCCTTCTCCAGCAAACCACGTGGGGCCAGTGAATTAACAGGGCACAGACTGAGTGACTTGAAACAGGGTTTGCTGGAACACCAGGCTAACTTCCTGACACCTGGATTTTGTGTCTTGTCTTGAAACTGCTCCTTACACTGCATTCCTAACGCTGCCCAGCTGCAAGCCTAGCCCACGACTCAGTGAGGGGACCCGCCCTCTAACCTGAGACCCGTGACACCTCTGCTGGAGCACGAGAGTCAGCTGATGGGTGAGGACAGTGGCCGCAGGCGCCCACGGCTGTGCCACCACCTCGTAATGCCCGACCCACACTCACCAGATGCCCACGTCCTTGTTACTGCTCAGTATCCAGGTCAGTGCGGCTTCAAACTTGGTGGAGGAGCTGCCAGTCACATTCTGTGGGAGGGGGCGGGAGAAGATTAGTTCTGCATCTCGGCGGAGCAGTGGAGCCACAGTATTCTGCTGCTGGATTAAGGAAGCCCTCTGCCGTGTCCTCTGCATGCCCCAAGCCCCGTTCCGCTAAATGCACAGCAAACTGGAGGACTGGCAGGAAGGAAATCTGGGGCTGATGAGAGCCAAGGAAGAGGCTATAACCAAAGGAGGCGACGTAGAAGCACACACAGGAAAACAATGCAGGTCTGAGACAGCCAAAAGTATATAATCTTCTCAAGGACTAAAGCATCAGGCAGGAGAGCTGGCAGCTCATCTTGGGTAAAGTGAAAAAAAGTGTGGGGGTGGGGGGCCTGGTGGCCAGTCCCAGCTGTGTGGCCTTGAGCAAGTCCCTGCACCTCTCTGGGCCTCAGTTTCCTCATCTGTGAAATGAAAATTGGACTAGGTACCCCTAAGGTTTCTGCCAGCTCCCAAGATCCATAATTCTATCATCCTGAGGCCATGTGGAAAATCAGATGGACCTGAGCAATCCACATGGTTATCACAAAGGGAGAGAACGGACAGGTTGAATGTGTGTCCTTAAAGCCGCCGAGAAGGGAAGAAAAGTGAACCAAAGGAGGAGCAAGTAACAGGGCCTCCTAAAGCCAGGGCACCTGCAGCGGCCACACCAACCAGTCAGGGAGCAGCAGGTCGGTGGTGAGCTGCCCGCCTGCACAGCAGGCCTGGCTCATGCTCACGGCTCACCTTGGGCCCAGTCACTCCCACTGCTGCCTTAACTCAGGTAGCCTAACTCGCAACTAAGTTAAAAAAAAGAAAACATGCCAAAAAGCAAACAGAAAAAAACCACTGGGCTTTTGGAAGATCAATACAAAAGCCCCAGGACCTCCGGGAGCAGAGACGCTCTGCAGCCTACTTACTGCTATATATTCCTGCGCCTCCATTACAGGGATGCATTTGCTTTTTAGCTTCTCTGGATTTCCACATTCAAAATTACCTAGGAGGGAAAAAACACACATTCAAACACAAAGAAGAGGTGAAAAAAAATTACTCTGAAATGGACTAAAAAATGCAGCAGAATCAAGCCATCAGCTCTGATAGGGAGCATGTGGCCTGGCGGCTCCCGCTTCTGTGGGGCATCTTCACTCTGCAGCAGGATCAAAAGCCACTTAGCTTGGATCGATTCCAGATCATTAAAACCTGACCTGCAAAGCAGTGCGGCAATTTGCATTAAATGACTAAAAAGCTGCCCAATACCAAGGTCTGTTTGCAATTGATCCCTAAAAGGATCAGACAGATAGCTTTGGAAGGTACTGGAATGGCACTATAAATAAACACAGGCTGGGAAAATAGAAAGGCAGGGAGGCCATAGGCATCGCAGGGATTTTGACTCGTGACACAGGCAGGTGACCTGGAATGCCAGGCTCACTGTTTTGAGGGGTCCTGGGATGTCCAGAATGCCCCATGGAGGAAGGGGGTGTCTGCGTGCTGGGCAGCAGGGCCTCTGCGTGGTGCTCCAAGGGGCAGCTCCCTTCTGAGCACCCTGGGCGGTGGGCTCCCACCGAGGATGGAGGTGGGAGCGTCCCCCTCAGTCCTGCCCCTCCTTCCGGGCCCAGCCCACCGACCACCTCCTCTAAAAAGGCCCCACCCCATGGGGACTTTTCTTGTTTGGCCAAATCGCTCTGGACTGGGGGGTCTGCCACAGCCCCTGGCTCTCTCGCCCACTCTGGTTCACCCACCACGCGCTGCTTCCCGTGGGTCCACGAGGCTCCTTGAGAACACGGACAGCACAGGGCTGGGCACGTGCAAGATCCTCAGCCCTCACACGTGGCCTAGCTGCCCTGACCTGGCACAGGCCGGGGCTTCAGATGGCCAGTCTGTGACTGTGTGCTGCGGAAGAAGTACCTGAGGTAATACTAAAAAACCTTGACAATGAGCTGAAGCCTATCCCTCGACCCTCAACACAGCCAAATCCTCAAGATCAACTTCAAGGTTGATCTTGGCCCTCTGGGTCCCCTGAGACCAAGTTTCTCCCGTCCTCCTGCCCCGACCCAGACTGCCCTGCCCTGAGGAGGCCTGCCTGGACCACCGCCATGGCCTCCTGACTGGGTTCCTTCTCTCCCCTTTCTCATCCACATTTGGTCAACAAAGCCTTCCAATGGTTCTGCTTCAATGACACTACTCCACTCAAGCTGCTGCCACATGTGCCTTCCTGGCACCTGGCTCTCTGCACGTCACTCCCCCGCTCAAAGGCCTCCCTGGCCCGCACTGGCTGCAGGATCAACCCTCGGTGGCCTGGCCCAACCCACCTTTCCAAACTCCATTCCCTCTGCTTCTCTCTCACCCATTGAAGCCAACTGCTTCCACCCCTGACCCTGTAATTTCCCGCTCTTTGGCCCTGCCCTCCCCCACATACACATACCCACTCCTAGCTGGGCTTCAGGGCCTGGCACAGATGCCACCTCCCTCGTGTCACTTTCCTGATAACTCCAGCTAAAAAGCATCTTGCCTCCCGGAACTTCTGGCTCGGTTCTCATCTAATTGCATCTTATATCACCCAGTGGTCAGGGAGGTAGGTGGCCTGTCTCTTCTACCAGACCACAAGCAGCCTGCGGGTAGAACCCTGGGCTGAGTCATCTCTATCCTAAAAGGCCAGCACAGTGCGCTACCCATAGCTGATCTCCACAGGAGGTGTGGGGAGGGAGCAGGGCCTAGCAGCAAGCCCGCACTCCCCTGCATCCTCTCTCAGTGAGATACACACCCTCAGGGCTGCCTCTGCCAGGCTAGTCAGAGGACCCTTGACAGCGTAAGCCAGGAGCACATATGGAGGGCGGGCTGGAAGAGAAATGTTTACTAGGACCCACAGTTTAAGAGCAAAGCTTCTCCACTTCATCCCCTGGGGGCCTTATTAAAATGCAGATTCTGATTCAAAAGGTTTGGGACCGGACCTGAGATTCTGCACTTCCAGTAAGCTCCCAGGTGATGCTGACGCTGCTGGTCCTTGGACCACAGTGGAGTCACTAAGGTTTGGAACACCCTCTTAGGCCAGAATTCATATGCCAAGCACTGGGCCCTAAAGAATTACCCATGATGACCTTCACGCTGTGAGCCCCAACTCCCACCGTCCCTCCGAGGAGCTCACAGATGCCTCCTGACCATCTCCAGTCTCCTACCAGTCAGGAGGGAGGAGGTGGCAGAGCTGAAGCCCACAAGACTGGCCTTGAGGACTGAGGGCCCAGTCCAAGTCCACCCAACCATGACTTCCCAGCAACAGCCTCAGACAGGGGCTGCCCGCAGGTAAGGGGCACCTCTTGACATCCCATAAGTCTGAACAGCTCCGTCTGGTTCTCCTGTCAAGTCTATTTAACACGGGGCACAAGCCCTGGACCTTCACCTGTGTTGTCAGCAAGTGATTCTGAGAGCTGCTGAGACGCCAGGTATGGGAGAGGACACAATAATGCAGGTGACACCTCTTGCCCTCAAGGAACGCGTTTACCAAATAAAATAGTAGGGGAGCCTTCTGGATGGATGAGTTTTCAGGAGTTATTTCATGAGGGTGCTGAGAATACACCCCTCTACAGTACAGCACTTGATTTTCATTTTGTAAAGAAAAAACAGACCCGAGATTACTTGGTCAGATGGGGAGACTGAGGCCCTGAGAGGATCAGGGACTTGTCTAAGGTCCCGCAGCCAAATGGGGTGATCAGGACCAGATGTGACACCAGGGACCTGGCGGGCTGGACGGGCCTAAGTGGGCTCGGCCCACCACGCAGACCTGCCTCCTACACAGGCCTTTCCACTGGCCCAGCCAACTATCTGGTAGGAGAGGCCCTCTAGGTCAGAGGACCCAGACTCTGAGAAGACCTAGGGCCTTGCCCCTTCCAATGCAACACAGACCCCCAAAGCATCAGGTGGGGGGCATCCAGAGAAGGCAGCACATCTGTGAAAGGCCTGTGCACGTGCCAGGACCCCTGGGATCCTTAAAGGGGATGCGAGAACCAAATGTGTTTTGCCCAGACGCAAGGCTTTAAAAAGATGTGTCTGAGTGGCGAAGGGGGAAGGCAAGACTCGGTTTCTGAGTATGTCTTTTGGGAGATGACCACAGTGTCTCAGCAGCCTGCCTGCCAGTCAGCGTCACCCTGCCTGATCAAGACAGAGGCCCACAACCTGCTCCCGAGGAATCTCGGCCTCACGAGACCTACTCACCGGCTTGGACGGCCAGGAAGTTGTACAGTTCGTGCAGCAGCTCCAGCAAGGCGGCCTTCTGCTTGGCCTGACAGAACTGAAACGGCACAGGACAGGCGGTCAGCGAGGAGGGGTGGGCGGGAGGGGCTCTGTCTGCCTGGTTTACCTCCTCAGCCACACTGCCAACTACTAAGAGGCAGGGAACACTTCACGCTTTTAGAAGATAAATACAACCTCTGCAAAGTGGTGGGCCCAGGGACAGCGTCGATAAATATCAGGTTAACTGAATGAAAGGAACACCGTAAAAGCAGAGGCCGGGCTGAACGCAGACACAGTAACCAGGGGTCTGCCATCCTGGAGGCTCCCTGGCCTCTGCGCCACGGCTCCTGCTGGAATAAAGGCCATGGAGTAGGGCTGTGGCACAGAGGTGATATGGCTGCAGGGGACATGCAGGAGCCCGGCTTCCTAGGAGGGAAAAGCAGACGCTCCCTCCGGGTCACTTCCGTCCGTTTCTGGAGAGTCCATTGTCTACGACCTGCCTGTGGATTGTCTGCTTTGTGGATTATCTCTTGCAAATGTTTAATCTTAAACTGTATTCCCCTAGAAATGGAAAATTTCGGGTCGGCCCAGTGGCTTAGCGGTTAAGTGCGTGCGCTCCGCTGCTGGCGGCCCGGGGTTCGGATCCCGGGTGCGCGCCGACGCACTGCTTCTCCGGCCATGCTGGGGCCGTGTCCCACGTACAGCAACTAGAAGGATGTGCAGCTATGACATACACCTATCTACTGGGGCTTTGGGGGGAAAATAAATAAATAAAAAATCTTTAAAAAAAAAAAAAAATTTCTAGAAATCTTGAAACTGCCTGGGGAAAGAGTCATCTGTATAAGAAAATAGGAAGAGGAATATAAGCATACCTAGTCCTCTAGCACCTGTGACAGAACTGATGCCATTTTGCTAGACTTACTGGATTTAGCATTCAAGAAAAGGTTGCTCTCTGTTGAGAGTGGACGATGGGCCAGGCGCTGTGTGGAGCGGTCTAACTGTGAGCATGCACTGAATCCTCACTGCAATCCTTAGTACCTCAATGTCTCAGATGAGGAGCCTGAGGTTTAGAGACTTCAGGCCACCAAGGTCCCACAGCTCATAAGTATGGAGTCCCGCTAGTGAGACTCCATGCCCTACACTTTGGGCCTCGTGTGGGGTGTCACTAGGCAGAGCCCTGGACGGGAAGCCAAGGGGCTGGCTTCTGGACCTGGCTCTGCAACTATAGAAGGAACCAGTCGCTTTCCTTCTTGTGCTCATTAGTTGCCCTCATCTGACTTGTTTCCTAATAGTCTCGGAGGCCAGGATTTGCCCCTTATGTTACCTAAAGACCCTAAAGCCTTTACAAGGTACCAAATGAGGTAACCAAGATTATACACATGACTAAATGTTCAGAAACAACTCACGTGGCTACTACTAGAGTTCCGTACCCACACTACTTTTTAAAGAATATTTAACAGTATGGCAATTATTGATAATAAGTGTTAAACGTAATTGAATATACATCGAGATCCCAGTGCTGTAAACACACCTACACAGAGAGGTAAGATGGGAAGGAAATGCCCCCAAAACGTAATGGTGATTATCTTTAGGTGGCAGAATCATGGGTGATTTTTCGTTGGCACATTTTTCAAATTTTCTACGCTAAACATCTATTACTGTCACAACTAGGAAAAAAAGCAGTAACAATTAACACTGTTCCAAATTAAGCAAAGCAGGGCTGATACCACCTAAAGGAAACTGGAGGACAGAAGGTACCAGACAATGAGACGGCCTGATTAAGGCAACACACCCACCCCTAGCTCTCCCCACATTTTCAGCAGCACAAAGGCAGAAAGACAAACACAAAGTGTGCCAGTCGGCTGAGGAGAGACAGAACACGTGTATTTGAACTCTAACGCCTGTCGGGGTCTGGGTGAGCCTGAGCCACACCAGAGCCAAGACATGCCTCCTGACCTGCCTGTTCCTGCGTCCACCCTCCACAAAGGCCAAGGGCGCCCCGTGAAGTCTCAGTTCCACAAAGCCTGCGAAGATAGGGCCCAGACTCTGCCTTCCGGTGCGCTGAGGTTGCATGCACCCAGGCTGCTCAGTGAGCTCGTCTCTAGCAGGACCTGGACTGTGCCCGTCTGGGCTCACTCACGTGGGGCGTGAGCGTGTCTGGCTCAGAGGAGGCCCGGGGAGCAAAGCTGTCATTCAGTCGTGGGTCTGATACATTTAGAGATGGGAAGGACCAAGACATAGAACCCAGGGAGCCCTTTTCTAACTAAAAGACAAACAAAACTAACATCAGCAGAGGAGTCTAACAGAAAAGTTATTTTTTCCTATTTTTGTTTTCAGTCTTAAAATTCTAGTTTCCCCTCTGGCCGCTGCCTATGTTTCTGGGCCACTTCCTCTAAGCATCAACTGTGGTTTTTATGATGGAAAGCAGAGTAAACTTATTATGAATCTGTTTTCACAAAACAGTTGGGAAGCAAAGATATCTGGTGGATGAATGCAATAAATAAATATAATAACACATCCCCAAATATGACACAGCAGAAGCCAAAGAGAAATAAAACCAGTTATCTGCACCAGGACGCCCCTTCATGAACGTGGGTACGAGAGTCAGTGTAGGAACATGGAGACGACCATGTGTCATTTCTTTCCCGACCACGCATCATTTCTTTCCCAGCCCCCAGGCTGCCAGAGGCGTGAACTGGGCTCAGGGAGACCTGGCATCGCACACTTAATAATAATTAGACTAAGTCATGCCCTCTGGCAGCACAAAGCTCCTCCTGGTAGGATTTATGACCTGAAAATTTACTGCCTCCAATCTTCCCCAGACTACCACCTGTACCAGCAAACCTGCTCCCTGCTAATGCTGCCTTCGCAACTCACAAATGAATGGGGCTGCTCACCTTCCCCAAATATTTGTAGGGAATATTAAAGCTTCATAAAACAAATGTATAGACTAAGAGGCCTAATGCCACTTCAGATGTGTTTAACCACTCCTCCCCCCTGATGATGTTTCAAATGAGAGTGGCATTTTCAGAGCTACAGCCGGACTACCGGATGGAGAATGTGGAATCGAGAACTTGGCATCCTCATGCTTAAAACCTGCCAGCCCCTCCTCCTGGAGCCAGGGAGCTTGAGAGGTCCTCCAACCACAACCTACTGCATCCCCTAGATCCAATTCGGCAGCAGATCAAAGTCTCCAACGCTGTGACTGATGGGAGCGCTTCCGTAACAAGCCCAGGTTTGGATCTGGGGAGCTCAATTCTCCGTTTCAAATACTCCTTCTCTGCCACAATTGAGTCTGACACAAACATCACAGAACACGATGTGATTCTGGGACATTACGGGAAGCACTCTTGAGAATGATCCTATTAGAATCTTTTTCTGGGGAAGTTTACCTCCTGATGGAGGCTAACATCCTTGGGAGGGATAACAAAAGCTAGAGAAACTTCAACTCACCTCGTCTGTTTTTTTCTCACACTCCACTGGCAATAATTTCACTGAGACCAAGAAAAGAAACACAGAGGAAATTATGTGGGTTGAGGAAAAGAGTACAAAAGGGATCACTCTCAAATTCAGGGGAAGTAAAACATTACCAACTTAAGGGGGGTGGTTAGAAAGATGTTCATCTAAAGGAGGCACTTTTAAAATGCAGACAGTAAAACATAAGGGTTTCCCAATCCTGGATTAGGAATTAGGACAGCTGGGTCCTAACTCCAGGTGAAAACGATTAGCCAAGGGCTCTTGGGCAACTCACTTAACCACTCTGAACCTGTTTCCTCATCTGTAAAATGGGATCAATAAAGCCTTCCCTGCTTAACTCAGGGAGTTAGCCTCAAACAAATGACATACAGGATGGTTCTGTAAATTGTAAACAATGGTATGTTAAACAGGGATTAATACCATCAGGGGAGGGGAACTCCAGGTAAATCCCAGTATATATCCAAGAGCTGTTGTTTTAAAGCATCTCGGCAGTGAGTATGACAGTATACTGTTGACTTACAGTACCAGTATGGTACCATGACACTCCTGGGCCTGCTTAATTTCTTTAGCAGGTGGATAAACTGCTCTCATAGTCAAGAAATTATTTGGGTGTGTGCACGAGTCTGGGATCCCCATGCCCAGACTTGTTCATACATCCAAACATCCATCTGCTGCACCAGCTAAGACATAATTTAGCTTTTCTCTGCATTTTGGCTGTTCTGGCGAGGCGTGGAAAGACGTGGCCTTGGCTCACAGCTGGGAACGGTATGACCCACATTTATGCTTTGCAAAGAATATTAAAAGTTGGTGAACTACAGTGTCATTTTACACTTAAAATGATAAAGAGATGATCTCTATGTTGTTCCTCTTAGACTAGAGCCCAGAATTAGGTGGGAGGCAAAGTTCCCTTTTAGGAAACTTACAAATCCTCAACTATTCAGGAAACATACCGTCTCCTGCAGAACTCTTATTGACATGTCTAATCATATAACTAAGTGTGGACAGAAGCACGGCTGGGCATGTCCTTGACCCACAGGACCCTCTCAACACTCCAGGAAGATGCTGCAAGCAATGACAAACGCCTCCGTTTACATCAGTTTAAACTCTTTAAAAGGTTCTTGCACACCTGTCTCATAAGCAGGGCTAGCACAACCTCCTTCTGACAAATGAGGGCCTTGTAGTCCAAAGAAGTGGGGCCTGTGGCCTTTCTGGTGCTGCAAAGCTGGGACCCCAACCAGATCCCATCTGTGGGCAGTGAAAGCTGGGTGCCTTCAAATGCACACTAATGTGTGAAGGAGCAAGAGATCAAAAGGGAAGAAAGAAAAAGGAATGGGGGTGGACTGTCTGTTAGAGGGGGGTGTGGCTTTCTCTGGAGAGGGAAAACCAGAAGTTGGGGTACAAGTGACTAGGAATGAAGACTGCTTCCAGCACGTGGTTGAAAGGGAGATTCGTAGGGAGGGCAAGGGCAGAAAATGAGAGTAGGAGAAAGTGAAGACAGAAATTATTGCAGATGCAGGAATTCCGGCCCTCTCCTCCCACAGCTGGAGGAAGGAAAGTCAAGGTCTGGAGGTGGGAAGAGGCGGCTGACCAGGCCGGAGCGTGCAGCCTCGCGCTGAAGGTGGTCCTGGTGGTGGACACACGCGCGCCCGGGGCCCTCCCCTGCGCCGGCCCGGGACGTACTGTTGTCCTCCGCCTCCTGCGGCGCCGAGGGCTTGCCCATCTTCACCCAGAGGATGCCCAGGAAGACGAGCAGCAGCCCCAGGCTGGCCCAGAACAGGAGCCGGGACAGGCAGCGCTCCAGCCGCCGCCCCGCCTCGGGCCGGGCCCGCGCCGC